TAAAAAACCGGGCCCCCCCTCCAAATGCGACCTGATATTCAGGACCCCCCTCTTCGACGGGGCGCCTCAATAAACAGGGCCCCCTAAGCTCCAATCCAAAGAAAGCGCCCTAATAAACCGGACCCCCCCAGTTACGAAAAAGGCGCCTTCAAAAACCGGACCAGGGGGACGATGAATAAGGGATTTGGGCTAGCCAGCAGGAGGGGGCGGGGCCAGTGACTGAGATCCTGGCGTCACATTTGTATTTCACACTGGGCGATTTCGCCCCATTTCGTTAAAGGCTTAACGACTTCTGACGTCCTTCGACTCGCGCTGGAGCGGCCGCGAGTGGCTCCAACTTTCCCTGGAGATCTTTGGATTTACTTGGATTTACTCGGATTTCTCTCGATGTACCTGGGTTTGCCTGGATTAACTTGGATTTATCTAAATATACCTGGATTTATCTGGCTCGATCCCCACAAGTCGATTGGCGAAAAGTCGACAAGCATTAGGGACTATTTCGGCCCCCAGGACCCTCACAGATCGATCCGGCTCGAAATTAGACGCAGAAAGATTGGGCCTGGGGCTCTGGTAGTGATTATTTGCGATGTTGGACTTTTGTTGGCAACGTCGGATTTCAGGGGTAAGCATCGGATTGGGTACCCAGACCTCCCCGCGTCGCGAGGAGGTCACGACGGGAGGCGTTCTGCTCTTTTCGCCCTCGCCTCTATCAGGGAGGCGTAGTGGCCGAAGCTGTGCCCGAAAATTCGCCCGACTGTGACCGAAGTGTCTGGTTCGAAGTCAACGCGATTTTCTTTTCTGGTCGCCCTTCCGGAAACACTACGTTTTCGGTTACAATTTCGGGCAAGGTTCTGATCACATATTTTTTGGTCACGCACATCTTGGCTGACAGGGGCGGGGCGCCATGACCAGTACGCATCGGATGTGGTACCCAGACCCCCTCGCGTCGTGAAAATCGTGACAAGATGTTTCTCTGTTCGGCCCCAGGACAATCAACCAAACTTCCCAGGATGAAAAGCCGGTCCTGGGGAAGGGGTCCAGAGCTCTGGGGAGCCACGTTGTGAAAAACACACCACGTCGGTTGTCTGGGCAATCGGATCGCATCGGAATGCGCACGGGATGAACTCACATATCGGCACGGGATCGAAGCCGAAGCGGTCCGGCTGCGCCAGGGTGCGCAATAGCGCCATGCAAACAACGCGGGGGTCACACACAACCGTGTGGTGACCAACCGTGCGGTGACCTCGAAATCCCAAGAGACCTCACCGCGGTCCGTCACCACACGGTTTGGGGACCTCGGAGGCCCCCGTCGCCCAAGACATCGGAGAACAACCCGAGTTCCAAAGGGCGCGTTTTTTTTTGTTCGGCGATATTGGGCATTATGGGGGGGAAGGGAGGGGGCTAGGGGGGGTACAATGTAACGCCTCCCCCCGCCGTGCGCACGGCGGCAGTGCCCAGAGCGCACTGGGGGGGGGGGGAGGAGCGTTACGTTATAGTGGGAGGGAGGGGGGCCGGGGGCTAAATGCCCATTATGCCCCAAGCAATAAAGAAGCACACTCAAAACTGCGCAATGACCCCGAACCCCCGCTGACTCACCACACGGTGTGGTCACTGCCTCGCTCTGGGGGCCCCGAACACTGGGGTGCACCAGACCGTCTGAGGGCCGGAAGAGTCCATGTCACAGGGGGGGCCCAGCGCGGACCCAGGAAATTCGCGAGGACCTCCGAAAGCTGCTGTGTTGAACGCTATTCCCGCTCCCTCCACTTGGCGCGTCCTGCCCCCCCGGTCTCCCTTGTTATCCCTCTTTCTCTCTCCGTGTATGTATATGTCAGAGTGAGGAGGGCCGAGCGCATATAGATATGACTACATATTTATATTCATAAATATACAAGACTGCAGTGGCGCTTCGCGCCATGGACCTTGGTCCTTGAAGGTTGGTATGCAGGCGGAATAGCAGGAAAATCAAACCGACAATTTAGCGATGACTCCTTGTTGCCTTTTCCGGCATCGCCGCTATAATAATGCTATTCGTAATCCTGCCTCCATGCTTCTTCCTCATTTTCGCTAAACCCTGCGCATTCTCCACATCCTCCTCAGCTCTTTTTTGCGGAGGATCCTTCTTGGAGAGCCTCTGGGGGCCTCACAAAAATTGTTTCAGGTTTTCTTAAGGCCTTCTGGAGGCCTCCTGGGCGTATTCTGAGGGCCTCTGGGGGCTTCCTCGGGCCACCCTGCCTCGAGCGCGTTTCTTCATGTTCGGCGATGACGGGCGTCATGCGGGGGGGGGGGGGCGAGGGGAGGGTATGACGTAACGCCCCCCCCGCCGTGTGGCTCCGGCACCGCAGCCGCGCCCGCGCGCGCGACGCGACGAGCGACGAGCGACGACGACGACGACGACGACCACGACGACGACGATCACGACGACGACGATCACGACAACGACGACGACGACGACGACGCGAGCAGCATGTAGGTGGCGGTATGCCCCACTGCGCCTGTGTACACCACAACGCTCGCGTGCACCACAGCGCGCGTGTATACCACAGCGCCTGCGTACACCGCAACAACCGTATGCAACGCAGCGCCTGTGTACACCACAGTGCTTGCGTACACTACAGCGCCGGCGTACAACTGCACACCGCAGCTACCATGTGCAACACAGCGCCTGTGTACACCACAATGCTTGCGTGCACCGCAGCGCCTGTACACGCCACAGCGCGCGTCTACACCACAGCATCCGCGTGCAACGCAGCGCTGGTGTACACCACAATGCCTGCGTGCATAGGACAAGTAGAAGGATCATGTACGTGAGGATCTGCTGCGGACAACTGGGCGCCACGCCAGGAAATTGTTGATAATCGAGTGCGACGTTCGTCCCTCCTCCCTCCTCCTCCTCCTCCACCTCCACCTCCACCTCCACCTCCACCTCCACCTCCTCCTCCTCCTCCTCCTCCTCCTCCTCCTCCTTACCCCCTATCGTGCGGGTTGGCGCTACAGCGCACGTGCGCATCTCAGCGCGCACCGCAGAATGGTCGATTGAATCGGTCCGCTTGGTTCTCGGACGGCCAATTTAGCTGGAACCTCCTGGACGCAAAGGGAGGGGTTAGGGTGATGCGGGCGGACTCGGGAGGACACGTAGATTCCAGTGGCGTTCCGTTGTTCATAAGGATCATTTTATATTGTTTTCTGTGAAATCCACAAGCGTTCCATTTTTAAACGGATTTGTTCTCACATTCTATATACAACAACGGTGCCGTGTTGCACACGGTTGCTGTGGTGCACACGGGCGCCGTGGTATACACAGGCAGTGCAATGCACGCGAGCGTTGTGGTGTATACTGGTGCTGTGGTGCACACGGCTGATGTGGTGAAGGCAAGCGCTGTGGTGTGCACAAGAGCTCTTGTGCCCACAGGCACGGTGGCACAAACTGACGCTGTGTTGCACGCGGCTCCTGTAGTGTACATAGGCGGTGGTGTACACAGGCGCTGTGGTGCACGCAGGCACTGTGGTGTACACAGGCGTTGTGGGGCAAATCGCCACCAACATGCTGGCGCTACCCGTCCTCCGTCATTCCTAGGCATTCCCAAACGCCGCGAGCGCGAAACGTGACGTCATCGACCCCCTCCACCCCCCCTAGATGATTGCCGTCATCGGCCCGGAATAAAAAAACAGGCTTCAGCCGCGTCCGCGAGCACGACGACTATGAGCGACAAGCGACAAGCCACGAGCGACGACGACGACGACGACGAATACGACGACGACGACGACGACGACGACGACGACGACGACGACGACGACGACGACGACGACGACGACGACGACGACGACGACTGCGGACCAGACTCCTAGGGGATTCCAACGCGGACACCTACGCGGATCCCAATGAGCACAGCGGCAGTGCTCGGAGCGCGCTTGGGGGCAGTGCCCGGTGCGCACTGGAGGGGGGAGCGTTACGTCATAGGGGGAGGGGGGGGGCCGGGGGCCATGACGCCCGGCATGCCCCAAGCAATAAAGAAACGGGCTCCTCCAACCGCGGTATCCCTGGACGACCGGGTCACGATTTGCAATGCTTCAGGGGGGGTCTTGGGGCCATCTTGGGCCGCCATGGGGCTCTCTGAGGGCCAGCTTGGACCCGTGTTGTGCCGTTTTGGGGCTCTCTTGGACTGCCTGGAAGCCCTTTCGGATGGCTGTGGGGCGAATTTGGAGCCTTCCAGGCGGCTTCGGACGCCCAGATGACCGCCGTCTTGGAGCGTCGGGAAGCCGAAATGAGAACCCCCAAATTCATCAAAAACCTAAAAAGAAAATCACTGATTTTTGCCTCTTGGGGCCTTCTTGGGAGTGCTGTTGGAGGCTTCTTTTGGCCCGTCCTGGAGGCCTCTTAGGCCATCTTGAGGTCACGTCGGTCACTCTTGGAGCGCTCGTGTGCTGTCTTGGTGTCTCTGGGACGTCCCCGATGACCCCCGTGATCGCCCTAGGTGTGCTGGGAAGGCTTGGCAAAACGCCCTGCGAGGCCCGGGGGGCCGCTTCGAGGCCCGTCTGGAGAGTCCCAAAGCCCCAGATCCCGGGAGTCCGGTTTTTTTTTTGGGGGGGGGGCAGGGGGGGGTCCCCCGCGCGGGCTTGCAAAAATATGGGAAGAGGAATATACCTGTATACATTTATACATACATGCATACATGCATGCATGCATACATGCATACATGCATACATGCATACATGCACACATGCATACATACATACATACATACATACATACCTACCTACCTACCTACCTACCTACCTACCTACCTACCTACCTACCTACCTACCTACCTACATACATACATACATACATACATACATACATACATACATACATACATACATACATACATAAATACATACATACATACATGCATGCATGCATACATACATACATACATACACACCTACAGACAGACAGACATACATACATACGTACACACATGTACATGCATGTGTCTCTCTCCAATTATCTCTCTCTCTCTCTCACTCTCTCCTCTCTCTCGGAAGAGGCGTGAGAGGAGGAGGAGGAGGAGGAGGAGGAGGAGGAGGAAGAGGGGACTAACCCGAACGATACAGATACCGCTACTCCCGGACCTCTGCCGGAGTGCGGTCCGGCAAGGATGTCGAGGCGAATCCAGCCATTGCGACGAGACCCTCCCATGAGGCCCACAAGGCAAAAACGAGGCAAGGGTACCGGTTTCGGAACTTGTTCCTCCTCTCTGACTCTCTCTTTCCATCTCTTCGGCGTCGTCGTCGTCCTCCTCCTCCTCTCTCTCTCTCTCTCTATGTGTACATATGTTAATGTGTGTGCGTGTATGTATGTATGTATGTATGTATGTATGTATGTATGTATGTATGTATGTATGTATGTATGTATGTATGTATGTATGTATGTATGTATGTATGTATGTATGTATATATGTATGTATATATATATATATCCCCTCCGCCTCTTCAGGTCGCCTGTGGTTTAGCTCGCCGCGCGGGCTTCGGGCCCTGGCTTGGATTCTGCCAGCTGGATGAGGACTTCGACGCCCCTGGCGCGTGTGCCCCCCGGGGGGCTGATCCAAATGCTCCGGGCGCGCGCGCCTGCCTCCCGAAGCCAACGGACCCCACGAGGGGTGCTGCGCCGTCTCCGGGCAGGATGCGCCCCCGCCTCGGGATTTGCAGAGCCTTGCGGCGGTTGCTCGGGGGGGATCCCGGAGGGCGTTCTAAGTGGATGCCAGGGCGGCTCGCACATATGGCCGAATCTAGCTTATAAGCGGGCTCCATGTGAAGCAAGCGGCTTGCGCGGGTTAGATAACGGTGCCCAGTGGGCGGGTCCCACTTTGCCCAGATCTGCCCCCCAAAGCCACGCAGGGCGCTCGCAGCCCACTCGCACGCTAGGTCAGGCAAGACAAGACCCACCCTGGCCTCCAATTGTAAACCCCCATCCCCCTGGCACCCTCCGCGGCGATCCAAGCAGGAGGCGATCTCGAATGCTCGAATACTTGCGGCCCCATGTCTCTGCGACGTGGCCGAAGCGCGCGGCCCGCGGCGGCCGCCGCGCGCGGGCGCCCGAAGCGCGGGGGGTCCCCTGCTCACCGGAAATGCCCCCGCGACAGGGCAAACGCAGAAGCCACCAGGGCCTCGGAGGGGAACGGCGGGAGCCCGACAGCGGGCCGAGCGCCAGGACCAGGATGTTCACAAGAAAAAAACCAGGCCCAACCGCCAAAGAAGGGGGAGGAGGAAGGATGCCTCCAGGGCCCTCGAAGAGGGGGGGGGGGGAAGGGCGGGGGAAGTTACACAGGAACGCCTATTAGGAGGCGACCTCCTCCTCCTCCTCCTCCTCCTCCTCCTCCTCCTCCTCCTCCTCCTCCTCCTCCCCTCCCCTCTGCATCCACACATGTCCCGCGACCTACCAGAAACGTCCGAGAACCTCAAGTACAATCTCACCTCGCCCAAATCCCCCAAGCAAAACACCCAACACACACGGCCTGGCACACTGCGACACGGAATCACGGTTTGACCTTTTCTGTCCCCTAGCGTTAGGTCGGGAGTGTCCCCCTACAGGCGGGCTCTGGACGAAAAATTAAAACGACTCCAAACAATTTTATAACCATATGCAAAAACAGTTTAAACAAATCGTCCCCAAACTATTTTTAAACTATTTTTGAATATTCCCCCTGTATAGAAAGACCGGCCCGACTTAAGCCTAGCGCCACCGCTTTCCGCTTTCGACATGTGTTGCGCCAGACACCGCGCACCACTGGATCACGGTTTGATCAGCTCTGCCCCCCGCCACCGCAGAACAGTGTGCGCGCCACAGGTCGGGCCAGACACCGAGCAAACAAATCACTCTGTGGTTGGAGCGCGTTGCTTTATTTTCGGCAATCATGGGCGTTCTTGAGGGGGGGGGGAGGGGGCCGGGGGGGTATGATGTAACGCATCCCCCCGCCGAGTGCCCGATGCGCACGGCGGCAGTGCCCGGAGCGCACTGGGGAGGAGGGGGCGGCGTTACGTTATAGGGGGGATGGAGGGTCGGGGGCTATAATGCCGATTATGCCCCAAGCAATACTGACCACCATGTGAGGCATAAACATCGGTTGCGACACAGGTAGCGCCAAACACCCAGCCACACCACCGAATCGCAACTCCCTGGGCGAATCTACCTTCCAATGGCTGCGCCGCAGGTTGCGCAGACACCCCGCCACGCCACCAAATCGTAACTTCCGAGGTGAGCCTCCCTTCCGTAGGTTATCCCCGACGCCGCCGGGTGAGCCCACCTTCGTTCAGCTGTGCTAAAAGTGTTGAGGCGTGGAGTTCGCCAGGCATCCCTCCAGGTCACCACATTGTACTTGCTGGAGCGAAGCTGCGTTTGAATGACTGCATCATATGTTGTCCCAAACCCAGCGCCCCAAATGGTGATACCCCGGGTGAGTCTACTTTCCATAAATTGCGCCTTAGATTGCGTCACACTCGTCAACCGCCAAGGTCATACAACCAAACCGCGATGTTCAGGGTGGGCCGGCCGTCACAATTTGCGCCGTTGGTTGCGCTAGGCACCGAGCCACACCACCAAAACATGATTCCGCGGGCAAACCGACCTTCGATGAAGTGGATCCGCAGGGGACGCGCAACCTCCCAATCGCGCCATAGACTGCGGCGCAGGTTGCACCATGCATTCCGCCGCACCACCAAATCGCGGCCCCCGAAGCGAGACTACGGCAGGTGGTTGTACGTGTCGTGACGGCCTGGGGGTTGTTGCCGACTTCGCGTGGGTCGTGCAGCCCTGAACGACCGCGGCTCCCCGATATCGCAAATCGTCCGATGCTGGCCGATTCTGGACCACTGCTGGCGCTGGGGTCGCCGACGCGTCCACACGAGAGCTTGCCCTGCTATTATCTCGGGCAACGAGCGTTACGGGGGGGTGTTGAACTTAGGGCCCCGGGTGACAGGCGGGGAGGGCACGTCGTGGCGAGGGCGCGCTGCGACCGCCACAGTGTGCCTTCGGGCACCAGCATGAGGGGGGAGCCACGCCCCCCCCCCACGTACGATGGTTTTTCTGTTACCCCTGGGGTGGGCAGGGCATCGCTGCACGCCAGAAGATAACAAACGATGCCCGACACGAACATGCCGTACCTTCGCTACCTGGCGCCAGACATGATGGGCCTGTCTTCCACCACCACCATCATAAGTTGGAGGGGGGAAGGAGGAGGAGGAGGAGGAGGAGGAGGAGGAGGAGGAGGAGGAGGAGGAGGAGGACCCCCTCCCCCTCCAACTTATGGTGGTGGTCGTGGAAAACAAGCCTATCAAGACATGCGCCGCGCCAGGGCGGCGGCGGCGCGCACAGGCGGGGCGGGGAGGCAGTGCGCCTCACGGCCCGCATCCTGCCCAGCAGCGCGACGGCCCGCTCCCAGCGCCCGCTGGCCTCTGGCGAGCGGGGGGGGGCCTGCCCACTCCATCTCGCCCTCCCCTCGGAGCTCCACAGATGAGGCCCCTCACTCGGAGGAGCGTCAGTCGGCACAAACGAAAACCGTCGCAGGTCCGCCTGGAGTGCCTGGGTCGGCGCTGGACCCCCCGCCCTGGCGCACAGAGCGCGCCAGGGGCGGTGTCGGGAGACACTGGACAATTCATACTGAACGGCTCCCTGGCCAAGCCAGGATTGCAGGCCCGAGATGGGTACGGACACATACGAGCACGATGCCCAACAGCAAGGGTGCTCAAAACTGACAGCGGCCGCTGCTGGGCGGGCGACTGTTCGCCGCCAGTGGGCCATATCCGGGACGACACCGACGCCGAGTCCCGTTCAGAACGGGCAAGAACTGCTGTCAATCTTATGGTTACGAACAAATATGAGCAAGGCGCCCAACAGCAATGGTGTCCAAAACCGACAGCGGCGGCTGTAGGGCGGGCGACGGTTTGCCTCCAGTGGGCCATCTCCTGGACGACACCGACGCCGAGTTCCGTTCAGAACGCGCAGGAACTGCTGTCAGCCTTCTTCCTCCAATCTCGATCGTGACGACAGGAGGGCGTGCCTACGCACCGATGCTGGGCCCCGCAGGGGCCCGGCCAGGGCTCGAGCTAAAGCGTGTTTTTCGTTTTCGTCTTCGCTTTGTTTTCGTTCTCCTTCGCCCTGCTGCCAAAACACAGCTTAGCTCTGATGGCGTCCCCCGAGCAGCCGCGAGCGAGAGCGGGCCTCGCATGCCGCAGTCGCCTCGAGGTAGCTGCTCACCTGGCGGCGGCCATCCGCTCGCAGCCCCCCCGTGCACGCGCACTCCCTGCGCCGCAGCGAACCGCGCTGCCCGCGCCTCGCGCCCACACGGGCGGTCGTCGTCGTCGTCGTCGTCGTCGTCGTCGTCGTCGTCGTCGTCGTCGTCGTCGTCGCCGCTTCCGCCACCGCCACCGCCGCCGCCACCGCCGCCGCCGCCGGCGCCGTTGTCGTCGTCGTCGTCGCCGCCGCCGCCGCCGCCGTCGCCGCCGCCGCCGTCGTCGTCGTCGTCGTCGTCGTCGTCGTCGTCGTCGTCGTCGTCGTCGTCGAGGGACATCCCCGCAGATAGCGGCCCCAAGAGTTTGCTTGTTATGTCTGTTTGTTTGTGCACCTACCAGAAAGGGAAACATTTCTTCTATAATATATGTATATATACATATATATATATATACAGATGTACGCATGTATATGTATATACACCTATATACATACGCATACATAACTTTATATACATATTATGTATAAAACAAAAAACGTGCAGGGCGCCCGGCCCGGCGCAGGGCTGGGGTGGGAGGCGCCAGGGTCCCTCAATACTCTTTTTCTTCGTCGGCGGCGAGGAAGAGGCAATCCGCACCAGCGTGGGGCTGATCGGGGCAACCGACAAGCAAATTGTCCGGCGCGCAAGGGAGAAAGGCTAGAACGAGGGCGGCTGCACGAAGAGTGGAGATGCCTCAATTAACGATGTACTGTCGGACCTAGGGCCTAGGGCGGAATACCAGCCCTCGAGAACATTCGAGGGCGCCCTCCCCCAGGATGCACAAGAACATTCAACAAACACGATGAACCTGAGGGTACCCTCCCCATACCGACCTCGATCGTATACCTCGGCCCGACCGTATCCTGGATCCCAACTGACTCACCGCACGGTGTGGTCGACGCCCCGTTAGTGGGGGCATCCGAACGGGTGACCCAGGCAACCGGCCAGCCACTGCCCACGTCGAAGCAGGCGACTTTAGCAGGTCAGCCCTCCCAGAACGACCGCGGTACTGCCTCCACAGACTCTCATCGCGTCGTGAGCAGAATGCGACGGATGGATTTGGAACGTGTTCGACATCTGGAGGGGAACCTCGCCGGGCGCCAGGACCGTCCAAAAGGATGAAAAGACGCCCCCCAGGGAAGTGGCCCCCTCATGTAAGAAGCCGAACTCTATGCACCGACGCTTTTCCCGGCCCCGCGCTGAGACTCGCACAGGAAAGCGGATGCTGGTGTACACATCTTTCGCTCTTACCCTGGAGAAGACGCGGGGAAAAACATTATACACCACACCACCCCGACGTCGTCCCCGACCCTCAAAAAGCCATCGGATTCAAAAACAGCCCCCCGCTGGTAACATAGATGCTCTCGTTTCCGATCATGATGCAGCGCGAAGCAGACAGGGGCGCAGGCCTCTGGCCGCCTCTCTGGCCTGCCAGGGGGAGGCCCCTTCGGGCAAACCCTTCGGGGCAACACCCCGCGAAGCGGGCACAGCACGTGCAGTGCCGGGGTGGCGGCCACTCTTCCCATCCCACTGGGGGGCGCGAAGTCCCCGAAGACGGGACGGGGTGGGCACGAGTGGGCACCATAGCCGGCTCAAAACCAAAGGAGGCAAGACAGCCTCATCGTTACTCTTGTCATTTACTTCATGCCATGCGTAGCAGGGTCTCCCCCTCCTATCCCGGGACCCCTAGCGGTCCCGGGTAGCATCCAAGATGGCGCCATGCAGCCATGGCCGAAGCATGGCCTCCAGCATGACTCCGAGACGCCCCAAGCAGGCCTCGACATGGCTCTAACGTGCCCCCCGGGCCCCTCCAGGATGCCCCCTAGAGCCCCAAAGAATCGACGGGCTTCCAGCTCCTCAGTGGGATTACGAACCTTCTCGCCCTGTTGGGTTCGAATGGGCCTCTGCGACCCCAAGCTGGCCCCCAGATGGTCACAAGAAGAGAGCCCCAAACGCCCCCCGAAAAACACTTCAAAAGGGCACCAGGCTCCCAATGAGCAGCGGTAATTGCCCTCGCATCTCGTATGGCCGATGGCCCCACGGTGGACCCAATAGGGACCACCGACACGTCTCCACATATCTACAACATAGCCCCAGAGAGTTTCTCTTGGTCGCCTCAAATCCCGCACAACGAACCCAATGATTGAACCCATCAACTGCAACGTGTAGGGGAATCGTTTCTGTGGGGGGGCGGTGGGGGTACTTGAAGCGTCGGAAATTGCTGGTGTTGCCGCGGGGGGGGGGGGGCGGGGGGCGCCCCGAGCTCCTCCTCCCCCTTGTACCCTCTCTCTCGACCCCCGTACGGTGGGGACGTTGGACAAGGAACTCTTGGATAAGGAACCCAGGGTCTGGAAGCCGGTGGAACTCCAATCGTGGGCCGGCCATTGATACGACTGCCGCCCTCATCAGATAAGAAATCCTCCAGTGTCTGAAGACCCCTGGACAGGTTCCCTAACCAACGCCACCACCGTACAGTATGTCACTTATCTGGCCGATAGGAACCCCGTACAGGCTCTCCCAACCGACCGATCAAAGATACTGCGAAGTCTGCTCTCAGAAATCAAAAACGACGGCTTGTCATCGACACTGCGAGATGCGTGGAACGAATGAGACGCGGCGCACATTCCGCGCGACGGAGCGACATGTGGCTTTCGCCTCGGCGGCGCGCCGACTTCTCTGGAGAACTGAGCTCCCGCTGGGGTGTGGCGAACCTTCTTCGTCCGCCATCTCGTCGACGCGCGAGCCGGCGAGAACATCTCTCCCCTCGCATTGGCGCCGCGCACATCTCGCCTGAAAGCGGCGCGCCCACCTCGCCAGTTCGTCGACGCCCGAGCGGGCGAGAACATCTCTCTCTCCCCTCGCATTGGCGCCGCGCAGACCCCGCCCGAAAGCGGCACGCCCACCTCGGCGCGGCGCAGAGGCGTCGCTCGCCAGGTCGTTGGGGGGGCGGGGCCGTGCGCGTGGGGGCGCCCAGTCGCCCTCGCGCTCGCCCCCGGGGGAGCTCCCGCTCGCAGGCGGCGCTCTGGCACTGGCGCGAGGCACGCGCCACCCTACAGCGAAGGGGCCCTGGAACACACACACACACACACACGCACACACACGCACACACACACACACACAAATTAATGGACACAAATCCCAGGATTCCCAAAATGATTGTATGTCTTCTGGGTGTTCGTCTTGCCCCCCCCCCACACTTCGCATATGTTCCGACATGTTCCAGGAGGTCGACGAGTACTTGTATGTTTTTCCGCCTCCTGATGCAGATCCCCGCGGGTTCTCGCAAGAGCGGGCTTGATGTCCTCCTCGCCCAGGCGCCGCGCGGGTCGTGCGTGTGAGGGCAGCATTCCTTGCTGCTTCGGCGCAGCCCATCCTTCGTCTTCGCACGCCAGTCGGGAGTTTTTAGCCGCCCGAGGGAGATGGCGGCACGCTGCTCTGGCCGCATCGCCGCGCAAGGATTCTCGAAGGCTCCAGCCCTGGCCGTGCTCAGCCCGCGAAGTTCCTTTCCCCTGGCCAAGTCGCTGGTACCGGGACCGCCCGCAACCACCGTCCGCGCGCTCGGAGGGAACGCAGTTCCAAGGGCGGGGCGCGGCCAGCGAAAGCGGCCAAGGATGGGCCGAAGGGGAAGGGTGCAAGGGTAACCTTGGAAAGTCGCTCGTCCTTACTATGCGGGTTGGCTGTTTCAATTTAAGCCACACTTGATTATTGCGTTGTGGGAGGAAAAAGGGCGGGGCCCGCTGACTTGTTCGATTGGATAACTTGACCACCGCTCCAACTCCCTCAGCACAGGGTCGCTTCGACCCAGTAGGGAATGTGCAGGGTCTGGCCCTGAGGGAGGGATTCCTGATCTGAAAAGCTCAGTCGTCGAATCGCAATGAAGCCAGCCCAGCCCTGCGCCTGCTTCGCCTCCGGCCCGTCCAGAACCACACGATCGCGGCACCTCGAGCTGGTGCGCACACCGCCAAAGCTGTGTTGCAAAATCGCAGGCGATCCGATTCGCAAGCTCTGTTACCATCTGCAGCTGCCTCTCTCCCCCAGTCATCCTCATTCCCACCGCAACCCCTCGGGTCCTGTTCCGATGCCCCCTCGGATGTCCCGGATACACCCTGTCAGATGACAGTGTTTCGCCTCCTTCCGGACGCAAGCGCGGAGGTAGTACCAGATGCTGGGTGAGACGGCCCCGCTTCGCGGGTCTGCGCAGCAAGCTCCGGCATCACTTCATGGCCATCTTCGCGACCTTCACCTGGGCTGTCGGGCGCTCTGCGATGACGGTAGACACGCGGGTGCCATCTCCTCCTTCCCCTCAGCCGCGTCACACATCCGTCCTCTTTCTCTCCCACGAGAGTGCCGCCTCAATCAGCCTCGCCTCGCAGGTCGCCCCTGTCGGACTGGGAGAGATCCTAGAACTCTGCCGAGCGAAGCTCCCTCCTCCTTGCGTCGACGCGTGCGGCTCGCCCTCCGGGCGAGCCTGAGCGCCACGGTTGCCGCCGCGCGAGGGGCACGGGCCCGCGGGGCCAGCAAAGCCGCACACCTCCCATGTGTTTCTCCTCCGCCCTCCTCCGTCCCCACTGGCTCTGTCCATCCCGTCACCCTTCCCTCGAGGGCAAAGAAATCCACCCCCAGAAGAGCCACCCCGCCCAGCGAAGCCGTTTCGCAAACGCACCCAAAGGAAGAATCGAACCGGGTAAGCTGTTCCGTAAACGCCCAGGGCCATCGAGTAAACGCCAATTGTCGGGTCCGGGTGGTTTTTCTTCCCTTGATCCCCAGCCTCTTCCTCCTCCTCACGGCTGCACCTACCCAACAACGACGTGGCCCAGCCACGTCTTCCGTCCAGGGTGCGCACCCAGCTCGCCCGAGCCAGGGGGGGGCCTCTCTGCCGGGAGGCGCACCGTGGTCTGTGGTCTGTCGACGGGGCTCGAGGCCACGGCCGGCTCCTGCCTAGAACGGCGCGGGCTCTGGCTTCTGACAGTACGCAAGGTCAATCGGCATCAAACCGGTCGGGCCTCATCGGGATGTGCGCCAGATCAGGGCACGGGCGACGGAAGGTCGGGGAGGAGGAGGAGGAGGAGGAGGAGGAGGTCAGGGAGGAGGAGGAGGAGGAGGAGGAGGAGGAGGAGGAGGACAGGGAGGGCGAGGGTACTGAGGGTACTGATGATCCGGGGTGGGTCCACACCCCCTGGCACACAGGCCGAAAGCAGGAGGCTAGCCTATGCTATCCTCCTCATCCCAATCCGCCGAAACGTCCTCCCGGCGGCGCTGGTCACTCTCCCAAGCAACAAGCGCCTCGGGGGTATCGAAACCGTGCAAGTTCGCAATCAGTTGGGGTGACAAGGCCGGAAGCTCAGCGATCGCTGAGGTCGGGAGAGGATCACCCTCGGCCGCTACTGGTGCCTCCACAGCTTCGCTGTTAGGACCCGCATCCCAACCAGCACCACCCCCAACAGGCTCAAAGCCAAGCAAAGGACCCCAAACAGCCTTCGTCCCGTCTGTCGGGCCAAACGGGGTGCCCACAGTGGCCTTACCCAGGTTATGGCCTGGGAACAAACCACGCTTTAAACGGGACCTCTGGGTCTTATACCCCGAATGGGAGGATCCTTTGCAGTTAGATTGAAGGCCTCCCCGCGCACTCTGATGCGCCGAAGCCCCACAGCACTTACAACAAATTATGTCATCAAGAGCTGCACCGTCCTCTGCCTGGACCGTGGCCTGGACGATGGAATGGCCTCTAAGCACTCAAGGAACACCAGAACCTGGAGGAAGTCCCTGGGGGCAGGATGAGGCGGAGGCGGAGGGGGAGGAAGAGCAGAACCCATAGCCACCATGGCCCTGGGACCCCGCTCAAAAGGCCTCGCACCCGCCTCCTGGCAGGCCTCCTGGAGGGCCTGCGAAAACTCATCCTCGAATTCAATATCCGCTGTACCGGCAATGCCGTCAGAATCAGGTTGCTCCAGGGACCCGAAGGCAGCCTGGGCACGGCCATGCCACAATGCACAGTCTCTGACAATTCGCAGGAGGAGAAGGGGTGTGCGGAAGGGGAGGGCGGAGGAGGAGAGGAATGGAGGAGAAGGCTGCATCGGGGCACGGAGTTGGAATCGAAGCGGAGTCGATGGGGGATCAGCGGCACGGGCCGTGTCCCGCGGACATCCCCAGGGCCACGAGCGGGCCGGGCCCTCGTGGAGGGCCCTCGTGGATGGGCAGCGTCGGTAAAAGAAGAAGAAGAAGAAGAAGAAGAAAGGCATACACGTAAACATTTGGCGCTCCGCGCGGATTTCTAGCGGGTCTGCACTGAACCCCCCCTCCCTGGCGCGTGGAGCGCGCCAGGGACGGCACCGGAGGCACCACCGGGGGGGCCCAGCGCGGATCCAAAAAATCCGCGCGGAGCGCCAGAGCTTAATGTCTATGCCGCTCTTTCTTCTTCGAATGTGGGGAACCAGCTCCTCAGGGGTGGGGGGAAGCAGCGACTTGGAAGCGGCGGTGCGTCGCCCACAGATCGGCGACAGGTCCCCTGTAGCGAATCCGAGCGCTCTCCTGGCCATGGGGGGAACCTGCCCGGGGGGGAAGAAGCATCGACCTGGAATCGGCGATGCGTCGCCCACAGATCGGCGAGAGGTCCTTGCTGGCGACTTCGCACGTTCCTGTCCATGGGGGGGACTTGTCCAGGAGGGTGACATAGAAATTTGGAATGGGCGATGCGTCGCCCACAGATCGGCGATAGGTCCTTGCTGGCGAGTTCGCACGTTCCTGTCCATGGGGGGGACTTGTCCAGGAGGGCGACACAGAAATTTGGAATGGGCGATGCGGCGTGGCCCACAGATCGGCGATGGGCCCCGGTAGCGAATCCGCACGTTCCTGGGCGTCGAGGTGGGCTACGAGGCCCCTGCTTGCGACGGCATGCGCCATCGGGGGTCGACGCGCCCCCCCCCCCCCTGAACCTGTCGGCCCCCTACCTGGAGAAGAAACAAAACGCCATAACCATACGGTAGGGGCATTGGATAGGGAACCTATGGATAAGGAAGCCAGGGTCTCGAAGCCAGTGGAACCTCGATCGTGGATTGGCCATGGATATCACCTCCGCCCTTATCAGATAAGGACCCCCCCCCGGGGTCTGAAACCCCTGGGCGCCTTCCTTGACGAACGCCACCACCGTAATAAACATGTGGCGCTCCGCGCGGATTCCTTGGATCGGCGCTGGACCCCCCTCCCTGGCGCGCGGATCGCCACAGGGGCGGCGCCGGAGGCTCCGCCGGGGGGCCCCAGCGCGGATCCAAGAAATCCGCGCGGAGCGCCACATGTTTGTGTATGGCGGACTTGGCTGAACCAGGACTGTGGCGCATCCTTCGTCGATAGGATCGGATCGGGTTTTGTGACGCGGGCTCGTTAAGACTGGGCCGTGCGCAAGCGATAGGACACTTTGCCAACAGGAAGTATGGGGGGCACATGCTTCGTCGACCTTGGCCTTCGCAAGGAGTCCCAGGCCCAACGGGTGGTGAGACATGCTCGTGGGGCGCCAGCTGGCAGGCAGGTTTGTTCTCAGGTGTGCCTGATGTACCCAACTGCAGCCGCGGACCACATGATCTGTCCTCTTCAGCGGCAGACTGAAAGATCCCGGTCTGCAATGTCCGGGTCTCCCTGCTGAGGGAGCCGCCATGTGCTCGGAGCGCTCGACCACTCAAGCTTGACGCAGTCGGCCCGTATCAGAAGGATGCGCGATGAAGGTTGCAAGGGCCTTGGACGCCCATTTCGAAGCTTTTCGAGCGGGGCGCGGCCAACGAAAGTGGCCCAGGATAGACCGAGGAGGGAAGGATGCAAGGGTAGCTTTGGGAAGGTTGCAAAGCCTTACCATGCGGGTCGACTGCAATAGCCTCCACCATCAGCCCTCACCTCGCCCCCCTCCTCGCCTCTGGCCTCCTCCAAGAGAAGGAGCGGAATGGCCTCCCTCGCCACGGCGAGCCTCGGCCACAGACAGGTTCCCAGCCGAAATCGAACGGGGGTCGGCCCGAAACTCGAGGCTCCCGAGCCCGGACTGGTCCGCATTTCAGCGTACACGTCGGTCGGAAGAAGTAGGAAAGCACAAAAAGCAGGAAGGCATATCGAGTGCATTGGGTCCAGGCCCGTCCAGAGAATATCAAAACACAGCACAAATATGCCGACCATTTAAGTAGGAAGAAGTTCGAAGTATATTGGAATCTGGGAATCCAAACATACCTGCTTTCACTGACAGGCGTGTACTGGCTTCAACCCCTCCGACTTCTGCA